CATATACAAGCACAGAGACAATTTCAACCGAGAAGATGGATTCTGGCTAAGCAATCATTGGAAGGATTTGATAAACCATTTCAGGTCTTAATTGATTGTTCACGCTTACGGTGGCTTTCAGACAGCATACATTAATTTTTCGTCTCCCCCCTCCTCTTTTCAGAACATAGATGGACTCGTCCTTCTAAACAAACTGCCAAATCGCTGCCCGTGGTGCTAACGGTTTTTTTTTTAATAAATAAATACACCGTTTAAAAAGAAATTAATGCAAACCGCCACTTCTTTCAAATGTTTCTTGCCGTTGGTTTTCACACCTGATGATGACCCTTTGTGTTATGGTCGAAACGTCGTGAGAATGTTTTTTATTGTTTTATATATTTTTAATTACTCCGACTATACAATCCACAAAGCTATCACTCAAACCATGAAGAAGAACCCTCTTGAGGAGCCTTTCAAAACCATCACTTTACCCTACATTGCTGGGATCACAAAAAAGATCTCCAAAATCTTGAATAAACACAAGATCCAGGTCCGTTTCAACACATTACATAAAATCCGTGATCTGGTTCCGTCTGTAAAAGATGTGATTCCGGACATACAATACCCTGGTGTCTACAAACTAAGTTGCCTCTGTGGTAGTAGTTACATTGGAGAAACCAAACGCCATGTCTCGGACCGCATTCGTGAACACAAAGCAGACCTTAAACACGGTAGGACCAACACCTCGGCCATAGCAGATCATTGTTCTAATTCAGTAGGCTCACATGCCATTGACTTTTCCAAGACAGAGGTTCTTTGTAAGCCATCTGGCTTCCATGAGAGATTCGTTCATGAGGCTATCCACATATACAAGCACAGAGACAATTTCAACCGAGAAGATGGATTCTATCTTAGCAATCATTGGAAAGATTTGATAAACCATTTCAGTTCTTAATTGATTGTTCACGCTTAAGTGGCTTTCAGACAGCATACATTATAAAAAAATTTCGTCTCCCCCCTCCTCTTTTCAGAATATAGATGGACTAGTCCTGGGTAAACTGCCAAATCGCTGCGCGTGGCGCTAACGTTTTTTATAAATAAATAAATGCGCCGTTTAAATTTTTTTATGCAAACCAACACACCTGAAGATGGCCGTTTGAGTTATGGTCGAAACGTCGTGAGAATTTTTTATTGTTTTATATATATTTTATTATTTTGTTGTTTCTCTTCAACGTGACTTTACCGAAAAAACTAAGAATATGAATTACTGCAGTCACGAAAGCTTTAAATCAAAATTTAATCGCCTCTACGGGGAGGGTTTTCACATAACTTTAAGATCCTTCAACAAACTCCGGGATAAGAAAGCTCAGCTGATCGAGTCTCTCACCTTCCTGAAGAGATGCCGCGACTCGCATTTACACTGACCTCTGCTGCTGTAACTTCTTCTAATGCGAAACGAATTCTTTTCAAAACTAGCTTAGCTCTTATCTCAGAAAAAATCAGACTTATACGCACAGAACTAGATCAGTTAGACAAGACACTCTACAAATCACACTTATCATTGACGGCAATAATGTCCACATCGGATTGGGAACATGTAGACAATATGACTGCCTCTTCAGCTGCTACTATGTCGACCAAATGTAAGGAAAACCTGATTTCCAAATTTAACCTCCTCTTCAACAAAAGACCGGACCCACACACCAAAAAGTTAGACGTTAATAAAGTCGTAATTAATCGCAGTAACAGTTCTATTTCGATGGTCTGAAATCCGTTTTAGCTAAAGGTCTAAACTTTGCAGTCACACCTAAACACATACCAGTTAATGATATAATTGCCCAAGTAGACGTTGCTCTCAGGGGCCTGGGTCACATCGCTGCAGACGTAGCACGATCTGAAATCGCTGCAACCCTCAAAAACGCTAAGATGCCAGCTAGCAACCTCAGCAAAGATGAGCGTTTTGAATTATATAAATTAAAAAAGAGGAATGATATTGTAGTCCTCTCAGCTGACAAAGGCAATGCTACTGTCATCATGGATAAAATAGAATACAACAACAAAATTAAAGAATTACTCGACGATGGTAGTTATACAAAAATAAAAAGAGATCCCACCAACAGCCTCGTCACACAAAGCAACAAAATAATTTCTGATTCAACCGCATTAATTGATCAATCTAAACAGTTTTCGTTGAAACCTTCTGCTGCCAGGCCACCAAGATTATACGGCTTACCAAAAATACATAAAGTAGATACACCTCTTCATCCCATAGTCTCTACTATCAGCTCCCCCACCTACAAACTAGCTCGTTTTTTGTCTGAAATCCTGCGTCCTTTCACTGGAAAGACCACCTCTGCGGTACACAATTCTACTCACCTGGTATCGACAATCAAGGGTATTTCCCTGTCCCCAGACGACCTGCTTGTCAGTTTTGATGTAGTTCCCTTATTCACCAAGGTTCCTGTACCTGACACCATTGCAATCATTGAAGACTTGGTTCATCAAGGACTAAACACTGAGGTACCCCCCCTGGTGAGACACTGTTTAACCAATACATACTTCACTTGGAATGGAACTTTCTACAAACAAACTGAGGGCACCCCAATGGGCTCCCCCCTTTCTCCAGTAATAGCTAACATTTTAATGGAGAAATTTGAGACTGACGCCATCCAGACTGCCACTCTGCGCCCAACCTTATGGAAGAGGTATGTGGATGACACTTTTGTCATCTGGCCACATGGCCGGCCTGCTCTAGACCAATTCTTCGACCACATCAATTCCATACACCCAGCCATCAGATTTACCATGGAAGTCGAAATAGATGGCAAGATACCTTTTTTGGATGTCCTAATTAAAAAGAGACCTGATGGTTCAATGAACCACTCTGTCTACAGGAAAGCTACCCATACGGATGCTTATCTGAAACCGGATTCCCACCACCATCCATCACAGAAGAATTCTCTCATCAAGACTCTGTATCATAGAGTCCAATGCATATCCGACCAGGAACACATAAGCAGTGAACTCAAGCACGTACACCAAGCTCTTAGGGCTAATGGTTACTCCGACTATACAATCTGCAAAGCTATCACTCAAACCATGAAGAAGAACCCTCTTGAGGAGCCTTTCAAAACCATCACTTTACCCTACATTGCTGGGATCACAAAAAAGATCTCCAAAATCTTGAATAAACACAAGATCCAGGTCCGTTTCAACACATTACATAAAATCCGTGATCTGGTTCCGTCTGTAAAAGATGTGATTCCGGACATACAATACCCTGGTGTCTACAAACTAAGTTGCCTCTGTGGTAGTAGTTACATTGGAGAAACCAAACGCCATGTCTCGGACCGCATTCGTGAACACAAAGCAGACCTTAAACACGGTAGGACCAACACCTCGGCCATAGCAGATCATTGTTCTAATTCAGTAGGCTCACATGCCATTGACTTTTCCAAGACAGAGGTTCTTTGTAAGCCATCTGGCTTCCATGAGAGATTCGTTCATGAGGCTATCCACATATACAAGCACAGAGACAATTTCAACCGAGAAGATGGATTCTATCTTAGCAATCATTGGAAAGATTTGATAAACCATTTCAGTTCTTAATTGATTGTTCACGCTTACAGTGGCTTTCAGACAGCATACATTATAACAATTTCGTCTCCCCCCTCCTCTTTTCAGAATATAGATGGACTAGTCCTGGGTAAACTGCCAAATCGCTGCGCGTGGCGCTAACGTTTTTTTATAAATAAATAAATGCGCCGTTTAAAAATAAATTTATGCAAACCAACACACCTGAAGATGACCGTTTGAGTTATGGTCGAAACGCCGTGAGAATTTTTTTATTGTTTTATATATATTTTATTATTTTGTTGTTTCTCTTCAACGTGACTTTACCGAAAAAACTAAGAATATGAATTACTGCAGTCACGAAAGCTTTAAATCAAAACAAATAATTAGTTACAATTTAACTCTTAAGCCTTTCATTAAAGACTTAAATATTTAATAATTGCGTGAAAATCCACGTAGCCTACCCAGCGTTACACGCAGCGTACAGTCAAAGCGTTAGGCACAGGATCACCAAAACTATATGGCTAATGCGTGTTGAACTTCTTTCGAACCGTACGTAGCCAACCGTGCTAATCGAAGGTGCGGGGTGGGGAGGAGCTCAGTTTTAGAGACGGTGGCTGCAGGACAAAGATCCAACGCTGCCACACTAACGACGGATCCGTCCGCAACGCGGCTGTTTTTTTTTTTAAATCTCAACCACGTTGCGGCCCAGGCTCACATTCCCTGCGCATCTCTCAAGTCCGTCTAAGCTCGTGTCCCGACACCTGCTGGGACCAAGCAACGGCTCCAGTCGGATCGAGTCGGGAGGCAGCAGAGCCGTTGGGTTGAGAATTGCAGGCGACGCGGTTGTTCGCGAGCAAATCTTGCTGCTACGCGCATGTTAATTGTCACGTGTCTAATGCCGAATGTGATTCGTATGCATGTTGAGCTTCTTTCACACCGTACGCAGTCGATCGTGTTAATCGGAGGTGTTCATAGGCAAGGGACCTTTCCGGGTGGCTTGATGGATTAAGGATGACCGACTGATCAGCAGAGTCAGGATACTTTGACATATTTTTGGTTATACGGAAGAGACAAATATGGGAATGAGGCTTTATTTTTTTTGTGTCGGGCAGTGCGGGTTGGTGAAGGCGGAAAGAATCCCAGGACCTGTTAATAAATTGTCTTCATCGGCTACGATTCACCAACTGCTGGAAGAAGTCCTCCCCCCAAGCCGCCAACGCCTCTCACGATTCCGCGATGCGAGAATGCAACCCTGCGAGTGACCCGAACTCGGCGCTAACATCGCTCGCCCATTGATGTTGGTCGTGGCGGTGAATTGGACGGGATGGAGGAGCGAGCTCCAGCCAAGGGTCCTCCCTCCCCGCCGCACCCCTGCCTCTGGTCAGAAAGAATTAAGACAAGACACGCACGCACACCGTTGCGACACTCCACACAGGACGACCACCGACCGTTATGTTTTATATATATATAAACTATCACATAGTTGTCTCTTTAATTCGTTTTGTACATACAAAAAAAACATACAATCGCGACATTTGTTAAAATAACATCCTCGTTTATATAAAAGCACGTTAACGCTAATAAAAGCTGCCTTGGCTTTTTGAAAAGCAGGCCGGGTGAACACTCCGCTATTCTTTAAGACGAACAGAATAAACGCCGTTCTCCTTCCCATATTTTGCCTCTCCGCTCAAAACAACCCTTCGGCCGCACGGCCACCTGGGAGCGCATCTCATTAGCACTGGTTAAGTGTAAGCAAAACCTCTGGCACACGTTTCCAACATTCCATTTGTTTCATCAGCAAATCAGGCGTGCTGTAACCCAAGGCTCCCTGAACTCCCAGACGTCCGTGGGCAAGCGCCCTCTCTGGGTGGCTAAATGGGTTAACGATGACCGGGCTCCATCAGCAGAGTCAGGATAGTTCTAGATTTGAAGCTTTCGTGACTGCAATGATTCACACTCTTTGGTTCTATACTCTTTGGTTCTGTTGGGTAAAGTCACGTAGGTGAAAACTATACTATATTCACACTCTTGATGCAGCTATCTTGCTGTGACTGTTCCACCTGAAGACGTAAGCTTGTGTTGCCTCCGAAGCGTCGTGATTTGATTTAGTTGTTTTCTTTTATTTTAATTTTGTTTTACCTACGTGACTTTACCGAAAAAAAAACCAAAGAGTAGAGTCAGGATACTTTGACATAATTTTTTTGAATGAAAAAATTAATATAGGTTGCAGACACGATTCCTTGCAAAGGTTTCTATTTAGTGTTTGGACATCTTAACATGTTTTATTGGCAGGAGTGAAACCTATTCATATTCTTTTCATACTATTTTTTTATATATATAGAAGAGAGATACGGGAAGGAGGCATTGTTTATTGTGTTATTAAGATTCTCCGCAAAGGACGCGAAAATAACCGTTTCTTTAAAGAGCCTCGTCGCACGCGGATCAGCAGCTGCTAAAGTGAAAACCCAAAGCAGGCGTTCTGTCCCGCAAGTGGCCACACGCATGTCACAGTTGAATCGCGGTACGGTGCCCGTATCACATCGCTCTAGGTAGTGGTAGTCAGGGCTGGGTGGCCGATATGGAAATGGCACAATAACCCAGCCCCTCCCCTTCCCCCCCCTCTCCCCCCCCCCGCCCCCCGGGTACACAAAATGGTCTTAAAATGTGTCTTAAGTGCAGGCAGGCAGCGACTGTCACAGTAAGATTTGAAGATAAATGGATCATAGGTCAAAATAAATTACGGGCGTCTTCGTGAGATGCCAGTGGTTGCTAGGGATTACGTCATGACTCCCGCCCACTGCCCCAGCCAATCGACTGCCAGGAAGACAACCCCGATGCAACATGGCCACCATGAAAGTCACCCATGCAACATGGCTGGCATGACATCACAACATTATGCGCTTCAACCGATGTGGCAGAGGTAAGTATATTTGTGTTAATGATTATATAAACAAAGTAATGTTCATAGCATTTCACCACTATCTTGCGTTATTAATTATCGTTTGATTTATTTCGACTTTGTCAATCGACTTATGAGTGAGCGGTCCTGCCCACCCTTAAGATCTCTCCTAACATTGCGACGTTTAATTGCCTTAACTCCCTTATCGACAACGCGTCTTATCTTTAAACCGGACTCTCGTTCTGTACTCGACCTCAAGATCACAGAGCATTTTAGCAGTGGCATCGTGATTTTTTTTTTAAAACATCGCATAAACTGACAACAGTAGCACACTGTCCGGCAGGCCTCCTGCTCTCGAGGACCTGTTTAATGTGTCGAAGCAGTTGTGACACACGGCCCCACACCAAAGCAGATTCTAAGAGCTTCGCTGGAACTCGTAAGCACAGGAAACCACGTTTCTAAAATGTACCACGGTGGAACTACCGCGGAGTAGCGGTTCGCAGCATCGCACCCGGCCTGCAATCCAGAGCTCGCCGGTTCGATTCCATTTCCTGGCACGGAAGTCGAAGCAACGATGCAACTTTCTCGAATCTCCCCACCCCCCCACACTCCTGTCCACCCAGCAGCAGTATAAATGGGTTCAGCCGCAGTTAGTCAATCTGCAGGTACGCCGACCTCTTCCAACACAGCGAGTCAACGTGGAAGAGTAGGCCATCATAACCTCCAGAGTTCCGACACGTGGAGGCTCGTCCGTCAGCAGTGGTCCGAGCAGGCAATTGCAGGGCGGCACCTTTACCGTCTCTTCTTTCACTGCACACCTTCACGAGGTCACCTGTTCCACGGTGAACGCGATTTATTGTTTGCAGTGATTAATTACTGGACAACGCCGAGATACACGTTAAGGTGCCGCCCGCCAAAACAATATTTTAAACTCCTATTTTTGGCGCTGGTTAAGGAAATTGGTTATCGACTCCTGTCCTACATCGGTCGTCAGGATGGCGATTTAACCTTTAAGGACACCGAAGCGGTAATAACCGTTTAGTTACTGATTTTCACAGGCTCCTGAAGAGGTTCATGTTACGAACTAAATATATATATATATTACGGGAGGAATGGCACGTCAATGGAAAGTAAGTCTGAAGAGAGTGGATGTTTCAAAGCAAGATCCGATCAATTTGTCTACAAAGGCTTGTTTAGTGTCTTGGAAAAACTTGATAAACGGATATATTATTGGCAAAAGAACTCCATCTAAGAGCTAAGGAGGGGGCGGATCATGTTTGAACGAGATCCGAGACTATAAAAGGCATTTGCTGAAGAATTTGAAAACAAGTTCTGAAAAAAAACGTCACGCAAATTAACCTTTTCGTCGGGAGTGCCATTCCTCCTCCTTGATTAACGTTTCCCCAACTGCAACAAATGAAAAAAAAATAATCTTTAAAAAATATATTCATCTTACGAACAAACAAACAAAAAACTCCCGAGGGGAACCAGTTATGAAATTGCACTCACAACGCAAGTAGTCCACCGTCCTATGGAGAAGCAACCTCCCTGCAATGGACCCAACCATTGTGCCAACAGTGGTACGTGATCAGCAGTCTTCCTCATACACAACTTCTTTCGCACACGCAAGTAGCCACTCCCTGTTAAAAAAAAAAACGGGGCATGCAACGATTCGGTCCCACGGGGCATTGTCTGACGTTTTTGCTCCACGGGAGCTTCTTCGGGAACTGGAGTGAAACAGTACCGGAGAACGCGCGAGAGGTACGACATGGAAAACACAATATCGGGAGTGCGAATTTCGGTCTCATTTTCACCGTATCGCTTCTCGTTAACTCCGCCCCAATCGTCTAGTTTCGTTTTGCTCCGTCAGATTAACATACAGTGTTCATCTCAAGACATTTGTTCATCCACTGCTGAATGAAGGCCTTCCCCCATGCTGTGGTGGCCATGGGAATTGTTTGACCAAACTTCATTAAGCTGGTCTGTGCAGGTTGAGATTTGGTGAAGGCGGGCGGGGGAGGCGGTCCAGTTTAGATATAGCCACAGCCAGGTATTGAACTCGACTTGCCAGGCTCATAGCGGAGAGCGCTGATCACACGCATGATCCGACGCATTTAGCAAGACCACGAGCATCGATTGGATTAAAAAAAAAATCGCCGAATAATTTCACCGTCGCATGCCGCGTACCGTCACCGGGAGTCACGCAACCGTCTCCACCCACCCCCCACAACGAGCAAGAACGACTGAACGAATCTGCGCTCGACACAACTCAGTAAGGGGGGGGGGGGGGGGGGCACTCCCCCGACCTGCCAGTGGTCACCACCACCACCACCGCCACCACCGCCACGTAGTGCGCCGTCAAACGTCAAACTGCCGGTCCGCTCTCGGGGCATCGTAGTCGCACGGCGGCGGCGGCGGCGGCGGTGCCGCAGCAGTCGTCATCCCTGCCGGCAACGCCGGCAACGCCGGTGCGAGCGCCAGGGCCGCCCTGGGCGTGCGGTAACCCGAGTCCTCCTCCGGCTTGCTCAAGTCCACCGGAATCGGCGCCTTGTACCCCAGCTCCACCTCAATTGCCGCAGCCGGCACACCACCGGGCCGCGGCCGCGGCTTCTTAACTCCGAGTCCGCCGGGAGCCGGCTTGCGTTGGCCGGGCCGGTCGTAGCTAGCGCCGAGGGAGCTCGCGACGCCGCCGGTGGTGGTGGCGGGCGGAGCGATGATGGCCGGGGAGGCCGCGCCCCTCTGAAGCACGATGGGCATGGCGTATTCGGGCCGTCCACTCGGGATGGGCTCCGTGTACGTGTGCTGGCTCGGCGCCATCGCCGCCGCCGCCGCCGCCGCCGCCGCCGGCAACGGCGGCTGAGGCCGAGGCACGGCCGCGCGGTGGGGATCGTCCCGCCAGGCCGACTCGTCCGGTTTGAAGGTGGAGCCCTTCCTCACCTGGCCTGGAGCCATGAGCGGTACGGCGTAGTCTGGGAGGAGAGACGATGCGGGGTAGGATGTGAAAATAGAGGGGAGATGACGATAAATATAACCAGGTTCACTTTACGTGTACAAAGACCCCCTTGCATGGCCATAACATACTTTTGGGGCTGTTAAGCAAGCACCAATGAAGGCCGGCACGTCACACGACGGGTTGCGTGGCCAGCACCAAGCCCGGCTGCCTGCACCAGGTGACTCATTTGAGGCCGAGTCGTCCCGGGGGAGGCCCAGGACCGGTTCAGATAATCGTCACCGGTGTTGGTGGCCGCGAGCGTAAATCGAACTCGGGTCGCCGGGTTCGTAGCAGCACAACGCGCTAAATGCTGCACTCCTGCTCCCCGCACGCACGCACACACACACACACACGCACACACACACACAAACACGCACACACACACACACGCACACACACACACACACACGCACACACACACACACACGCACACACACACACAAACACGCACACACACACACACACACGCACACACACACGCACACACACACACACACGCACACACACACACAAACACGCACGCACACACACACACACAAACACGCACGCACACACACGCACACACACACACACGCACACACACACACACGCACGCGCACACACACGCACACACACACACACACAAACACGCACACACCGACTCACCCGGGTGGCGAGCCCCCTCGATGTTGCTGAGCACGGCGCCGATGTCGTGCGACTGCCGCTTGTCCGGGTGGTAGTGGATGTTGATGAGCGAGTCGGCCGGCTCGGGGATGCGGCTCGGGAAGATCCTCTTGAGGCTCAGGCAGCGGCCTGCGTGGGTCGTCACGGCGACGACATCGTCACGCGGTGGGGGGGGTGGGGGGGGGAGTCGCAGGGGGTGGTGGGGTGGGGGGGGGGTCGGAGTCGTGCAGCATTTCAAGCACCAATGAAGGCCGCTGACCAGACCCCCCCCCCCCCCACTCCGACTACGTCTTGGGACAGCGACGAGGCCCGGCCGTGGGGCGCTCGCCGCACGTTGGCAGAGATTCGCGGTTCGACTCCGACAGGCAGGCGGGCCCTGGTCGTTACGTAACAATACCCTGGTCGTTACGTAACAATACCCTGTCATTACGTAACAATACCCTGTTCATTACGTAACAACACCCTGTCATTACGTAACAATACCCTGTCGTTACGTAACAATACCCTGTCGTTACGTAACAATACCCTGTCGTTACGTGACAATACCCTGGTCGTTACGTAACAATACCCTGGCCGTTACGTGACAATACCCTGTCGTTACGTAACAATACCCTGGTCGTTACGTAACAATACCCTGGCCGTTACGTAACAATACCCTGGTCGTTACGTAACAACACCCTGGTCGTTATGTAACAATACCCTGGCGTTACGTAACAACACCCTGGTCGTTACCTAACAATACCCTGGTCGTTACGTAACAACACCCTGTCGTTACGTAACAATACCCTGTCATTACGTAACAATACCCTGTCGTTACGTAACAATACCCTGTCGTTACGTAACAATACCCTGTCATTACGCAACAATACCCTGTCGTTACGTAACAATACCCTGTCGTTACGTAACAATACCCTGTCGTTACGTAACAATACCCTGGTCGTTACGTAACAATACCCTGTCGTTACGTAACAATACCCTGTCGTTACGTAACAACACCCTGGTCGTTACGTAACAACACCCTGGTCGTTACGTAACAATACCCTGTCGTTACGTAACAATACCCTGTCGTTACGTAACAATACCCTGTCCGTTGCGCAAACAATACCCTGGTCGTTACGTAACAATACCCTGGTCGTTACGTAACAATACCCTGGTTGTTACGTAACAACACCCTGCTCGTTACGCAACAATACCCTGCTCGTTACGTAACAATACCCAGGTCGTCACGTAACAATACCCTGGTCGTTACGCAACAAAACACAGGTCGTTACGTAACAATACCCTGGTCGTTACGTAACAATACCCATGTCGTTACGTAACAATACCCATGTCGTTACGTAACAATACCCTGTTCATTACGTAACAATACCCTGTTCATTAGGTAACAATACTCTGGTCGTTGCGTAACAATACCCTGGTTAAATTTTGATTTAAAGCTTTCGTGACTGCAGTAATTCATATTCTTAGTTTTTTCGGTAAAGTCACGTTGAAGAGAAACAACAAAATAACAAAATATATATAAAACAATAAAAAATTCTCACGACGTTTCGACCATAACTCAAACGGTCATCATCAGGTGTGTCGGTTTGCATAAATTTATTTAGAAAACGGCATATTTATTTAGTTATTTATATATAAAAAAATAACGTTTGCGTCACGCGCAACGATTGGCAGTTTGCCCAGGACTAGTCCATCTATTTTTTTAAAAGAGGAGGGGGGAGACGAAATTTGTTTTTATGTATGCTGTCTGAAAGGCACTGTAAGCGTGAACAATCAATCAAGAACTGAAATGATTTATCAAATCTTTCCAATGATTGCTAAGATAGAATCCATCTTCTCGGTTGAAATTGTCTCTGTGTTTGTATATGTGGATAGCCTCATGAACGAATCTCTCATGGAAGCCAGATGGCTTACAAAGAACCTCCGTCTTGGAAAAGTCAATGGCATGTGAGCCTACTGAATTAGAACAATGATCTGCTACGGCCGAGGTGTTGGTCCTACCGTGTTTAAGGTCTGCTTTATGTTCACGAATGCGGTCCGAGATATGGCGTTTGGTTTCTCCAATGTAACTACTACCACAGAGGCAACTTAGTTTGTAGACACCAGGGTATTGTATGTCCGGAATCACATCTTTTACAGACGGAACCAGATCACGGATTTTATGTAATGTGTTGAAACGGACCTGGATCTTGTGTTTATTCAAGATTTTGGAGATCTTTTTTGTGATCCCAGCAATGTAGGGTAAAGTGATGGTTTTGAAAGGCTCCTCAAGAGGGTTCTTCTTCATGGTTTGAGTGATAGCTTTGCGGATTGTATAGTCGGAGTAACCATTAGCCCTAAGAGCTTGGTGTACGTGCTTGAGTTCACTGCTTATGTGTTCCTGGTCGGATATGCATTGGGCTCTATGATACAGAGTCTTGATGAGAGAATTCTTCTGTGATGGATGGTGGTGGGAATCCGGTTTCAGATAAGCATCCGTATGGGTAGCTTTCCTGTAGACAGAGTGGCTCATTGAACCATCAGGTCTCTTTTTAATTAGGACATCCAAAAAGGTATCTTGCCATCTATTTCGACTTCCATGGTAAATCTGATGGCTGGGTGTATGGAATTGATGTGGTCGAAGAATTGGTCTAGAGCAGGCCGGCCATGTGGCCAGATGACAAAAGTGTCATCCACGTACCTCTTCCATAAGGTTGGGCGCAGAGTGGCAGTCTGGATGGCGTCAGTCTCAAATTTCTCCATGAAAATGTTAGCTATAACTGGAGAAAGGGGGGAGCCCATTGGATGCCCTCAGTTTGTTTGTAGAAAGTTCCATTCCAAGTGAAGTATGTATTGGTTAAACAGTGTCTCACCAGGGGGGGTACCTCAGTGTTTAGTCCTTGATGAACCAAGTCTTCAATGATTGCAATGGTGTCAGGTACAGGAACCTTGGTGAATAAGGAAACTACATCAAAACTGACAAGCAGGTCGTCTGGGGACAGGGAAATACCCTTGATTGTTGATACCAGGTGAGTAGAATTTTGTACCGCAGAGGTGGTCTTTCCAGTGAAAGGACGCAGGATTTCAGATAAAAAACGAGCTAGTTTGTAGGTGGGGGAGCTGATAGTAGAGACTATGGGACGAAGAGGTGTATCAACTTTATGTATTTTTGGTAAGCCGTATAATCTTGGTGGCCTGGCAGCAGAAGGTTTCAACGAAAACTGTTTAGATTGATCAATTAATGCGGTTGAATCAGAAATTATTTTGTTGGTTTGTGTGACGAGGCTGTTGGTGGGATCTCTTTTTATTTTTGTATAACTACCATCGTCGAGTAATTCTTTAATTTTGTTGTTGTATTCTATTTTATCCATGATGACAGTAGCATTGCCTTTGTCAGCTGAGAGAACTACAATATCATTCCTCTTTTTTAATTTATATAATTCAAAACGCTCATCTTTGCTGAGGTTGCTAGCTGGCATCTTAGCGTTTTTGAGGGTTGCAGCGATTTCAGATCTTGCTACGTCTGCAGCGATGTGACCCAGGCCCCTGAGAGCAACGTCTACTTGGGCAATTATATCATTAACTGGTATGTGTTTAGGTGTGACTGCAAAGTTTAGACCTTTAGCTAAAACGGATTTCAGACCATCGGAAATAGAACTGTTACTGCGATTAATTACGACTTTATTAACGTCTAACTTTTTGGTGTGTGGGTCCGGTCTTTTGTTGAAGAGGAGGTTAAATTTGGAAATCAGGTTTTCCGTTTTAGCTAAAGGTCTAAACTTTGCAGTCACACCTAAACACATACCAGTTAATGATATAATTGCCCAAGTAGACGTTGCTCTCAGGGGCCTGGGTCACATCGCTGCAGACGTAGCAAGATCTGAAATCGCTGCAACCCTCAAAAACGCTAAGATGCCAGCTAGCAACCTCAGCAAAGATGAGCGTTTTGAATTATATAAATTAAAAAAGAGGAATGATATTGTAGTTCTCTCAGCTGACAAAGGCAATGCTACTGTCATCATGGATAAAATAGAATACAACAACAAAATTAAAGAATTACTCGACGATGGTAGTTATACAAAAATAAAAAGAGATCCCACCAACAGCCTCGTCACACAAACCAACAAAATAATTTCTGATTCAACCGCATTAATTGATCAATCTAAACAGTTTTCGTTGAAACCTTCTGCTGCCAGGCCACCAAGATTATACGGCTTACCAAAAATACATAAAGTTGATACACCTCTTCGTCCCATAGTCTCTACTATCAGCTCCCCCACCTACAAACTAGCTCGTTTTTTATCTGAAATCCTGCGTCCTTTCACTGGAAAGACCACCTCTGCGGTACAAAATTCTACTCACCTGGTATCAACAATCAAGGGTATTTCCCTGTCCCCAGACGACCTGCTTGTCAGTTTTGATGTAGTTTCCTTATTCACCAAGGTTCCTGTACCTGACACCATTGCAATCATTGAAGACTTGGTTCATCAAGGACTAAACACTGAGGTACCCCCCCTGGTGAGACACTGTTTAACCAATACATACTTCACTTGGAATGGAACTTTCTACAAACAAACTGAGGGCATCCAATGGGCTCCCCCCTTTCTCCAGTTATAGCTAACATTTTCATGGAGAAATTTGAGACTGACGCCATCCAGACTGCCACTCTGCGCCCAACCTTATGGAAGAGGTACGTGGATGACACTTTTGTTATCTGGCCACATGGCCGGCCTGCTCTAGACCAATTCTTCGACCACATCAATTCCATACACCCAGCCATGAGATTTACCATGGAAGTCGAAATAGATGGCAAGATACCTTTTTTGGATGTCCTAATTAAAAAGAGACCTGATGGTTCAATGAGCCACTCTGTCTACAGGAAAGCTACCCATACGGATGCTTATCTGAAACCGGATTCCCACCACCATCCATCACAGAAGAATTCTCTCATCAAGACTCTGTATCATAGAGCCCAATGCATATCCGACCAGGAACACATAAGCAGTGAACTCAAGCACGTACACCAAGCTCTTAGGGCTAATGGTTACTCCGACTATACAATCCGCAAAGCTATCACTCAAACCATGAAGAAGAACCCTCTTGAGGAGCCTTTCAAAACCATCACTTTACCCTACATTGCTGGGATCACAAAAAAGATCTCCAAAATCTTGAATAAACACAAGATCCAGGTCCGTTTCAACACATTACATAAAATCCGTGATCTGGTTCCGTCTGTAAAAGAAGTGATTCCGGACATACAATACCCTGGTGTCTACAAACTAAGTTGCCTCTGTGGTAGTAGTTACATTGGAGAAACCAAACGCCATATCTCGGACCGCATTCGTGAACATAAAGCAGACCTTAAACACGGTAGGACCAACACCTCGGCCGTAGCAGATCATTGTTCTAATTCAGTAGGCTCACATGCCATTGACTTTTCCAAGACGGAGGTTCTTTGTAAGCCATCTGGCTTCCATGAGAGATTCGTTCATGAGGCTATCCACATATACAAGCACAGAGACAATTTCAACCGAGAAGATGGATTCTATCTTAGCAATCATTGGAAAGATTTGATAAATCATTTCAGTTCTTGATTGATTGTTCACGCTTACAGTGGCTTTCAGACAGCATACATAAAAACAAATTTCGTCTCCCCCCTCCTCTTTTAAAAAAATAGATGGACTAGTCCTGGGCAAACTGCCAATCGTTGCGCGTGATGCAAACGTTATTTTTTATATATATATAAATAAATATGCCGTTTTCAAAATAAATTTATGCAAACCGACACACCTGATGATGACCGTTTGAGTTATGGTCGAAACGTTGTGAGAATTTTTTATTGTTTTATATATATTTTGTTATTTTGTTGTTTCTCTTCAACGTGACTTTACCGAAAAAACTAAGAATATAATACCCTGGTTGTTACGCAACAATACCCTGATCGTTACGTAACAATACCCTGGTCGTTACGTAGCAATACCCTCGTCGTTACGCAACAATACCCTGGTCGTTACGTAACAATACCCTGGTCGTTACGTAACAATACCCTGGTCGTTACGTAACAATACCCTGGTCGTTACGTTGAGAGGTCACCAGGTCCCTCAGCTGGCCGTCGTCGTGCAGCGAGTCCGGATTTGTTCCCATTCGAAAAATGACCCAGAAATTTGCTCGATTGGGATTAGACACAGCTGCCACTGGGGGTGCCCTTCACAGAGTTTCGGATGAGAAGCAAGTCACTTGTTGTGTGTGGCATCGCTCGTAGATGCCTTACCGGGGCTCCATTAAAACATCATTATTGCAATCATCATCGCTGTCGTTTAGGATTTCATTATCGCATGTCACTCCCTTCAGAAAGAGTTATCGCTTGAGTGAGCAACGCTTAAATCCCCAATGAACCCTGGAGGGCAGGGGTTTCCCGAGACTGATTTCCTTACCAAGAGCCAAACAGGGGACGGTCCGATCAACACCTTTAGCGGTGTCACAAATCGAAGTGTCGAGCATTTGCATCACGTGCTTAAGGACCTATTTCAAATCTGCCCTTCGTTAGAGGTCGGTTGCTGCTGTTGTTGCTTTGCGTTACGCCGTTACAAACACTTTGCACCGGGAGGAGTGATGGAAGACACTCCGACCGTCACGTGTTTAGACCAAACGTGAACTCCGACCCCAAGCCTCGTGTGCCCAGATCACTTTACAGTCGAGCGAGTTGGGAGTGGGGGGGGGGGGGGGGGGCGGTGTCGCACCTTTTGTTAATCTCCCTGCAGAAGATGCGGAGAGTCTGCGGGGAATACTCGCGCAACTGGGTCCGTGCAAAACGGATTGGCGTGCAAAAGCCCGCTCGCACAGAGCCTATCAAGTTCCTTGTGTGTGTGTGTACGTGTACGCATTGTTTCCTACACGTTTACATGTGCAAACACAGACGTTACACACAACAACACGCGCCAGTGCGTCATGCAAAACGTATTGCAAAATGTATTACGCGCTGTGATTGTAGACTGCGCGTGTACACGTAGCAGCAGCCCTGTTGTCAATCCACCGCTGGAGGAGGGCACCCCCCCCCTCCCCTCCCCTCACCACCGCCAGCCTTCGTTAATGCAGCGGACGGCGTAGACGTGGGAGGGCAGAAGTACAGTCAACGCGTTCTTACCCTCCGCCAGGTCCCACAGCCGCCGCGCGGCACACGCGCGGGCGCTCCCAAGATCCGCCCCAACGTAAAAAAAAAAAAAAAAATCGCACGGCATAGAAGCGCCGTGCCACATTGGATTTTTTCACCGCGCAGCCGCACGTGCTGCTGCTGCCCCGCCACGACAGACGCTCACCCGCTCTGCGCCCAAGTTGCGTGCTCGCCGCTCCCTCCGCCGCCTTGCGTCTGCGACGGACAGAGGTGACAATGGAATCAACGCCGAGCAACGGGGGGAGTCTCGAGCGAACGGACACTTTGAGAAAGCTGTGGTTGACCGAGACCGAGACAGCGGGCGCAGCCGCAGACCACACACCTGCTTTTCCTGTTCCTCACGCACGCGTAGATCACCAGCACCGAGACGAGAGTTGTCAATGCCAAGGTAACGGGCAATGCCACCCACCACGCATTCCAGCCTGGTGGAGGTGTTGATGGCGGAGGTGGCGATGGTGGCGATAGCGATGTCGGTGATTGCAGGCGGAGGAGAGAAAACGGAGGGTGAGGAAAGGATTATATATTGCAATGTCGGCAAAACGTCTCAAAACTTTACACGGTGACCGTCAGACGAGAACGGGCAGAAGAACTGGCAAGCAGGCCAAAGATTCCCCCCTGCGTAGCCCCGTAACAGACTGTTGGGGCAAGCGCTGTTAGCGAGCAGCACCTATGAAGAAGGCCGGCACGGCACACGATGGGGGGGGGGTGGGGTTGGCCAACGCCATGCCCGGTGGCGATGTTTACACGCCGCACCAGGTACTCGCCCACGGCCGAGTGGACGCAAAGGCAAACAATGCCCGTCTCCGCGACATGCGGAATGCGCCACACGTATGACGACTAACAAAGGAAGTAACGATAACTGTCCTATTCTTAGTTCTTTCGGTAAAGTCACGTTGAAGGGAAACAACAAAATAATAAAGTATATATAAAACAATAAAAATTCTCACGACGTTTCGACCATAACACAAACTGTCCTTTCGGTTAAGGGGCCGTCCGTAATGACGTCACGCACCTGGGGGGGGTGGGTCAGACATTTGTGACGATGTGTGACGAGAGGGGGGGAGGGGGGGGTTGAGAAATGTGACGTCACATCAAAATGCGCAACTTTAAATAAATTTAGACAACACGTTCTACTTATATTCGTGGTTCTTTCGGTAAAGTCACGTTGAAGGGCTTTATCTGGTATATATAATACATGTTATTATTTTATTGTTTCCCTTCAACGTGACTTTACCGAAAGAACCAAGAATATGAATCACTGCAGTCACGAAAGCTTTACATCAAAACGTTCTACTTAGTTGAATAGACTTTCTAATAAATGTTTTCTCACACAACATCAGAGTGCAGCGCCACATTAAATACGCACTACTACAACGACAATAGTTTAAAGCGATTTGAAGCATGCTTTTTTTTTTGTCTGGGTCCCCCCGTACCCTGACTCTCCTCGACGTGCAGGGTGCCGTTGCCGTTGCGCGTCACCGCGCCGCCCTCGTGCGAAGAGAGCGTCTCCATCATCGCGGTGCTGTCGCGGGTCCTCGTGTTCGAGAGGCGAGCTTGGGTGGGGAGGAAACAGCAAAGGCAAAGATCGACCCCATGTGTGGCCTTCGAACGAACGACGGCCACCGTCATTGTTGTCAACGTTCTATTTCGCGCTTCTGCGGCCGTCCGGAACGCTCCTCCTTCCGATATTAAGAACCCACCGGAGCTGTGCACTTTTAAACAATTTAGATTGAAAAACTAATTTCTTTAGAACTGCTTTTTGCGTTTAGTATGTGGTCCTTCCCCCACACCCCCGGCTAGCACGGTTGGCTATGGTACGGTGCGAAAGAAGTTTAACATACATACAACACCAGTGGGTACATTGTCCTGTAATTAAATGAAAAAAAAAATGTTGTCCGATTAGATTACTCTATAATTATTCTACTTATTTTTTTTATCATAGTTCTTAATTTTATTGCAATTTCAAAGTTCAGTCATTGTTGTCAACTTTCTATTCCGCTGACATTTTTTTCCTATACTCGCCAGTGTAGCTTTGGGATACTCCAATATGAAAGGCGCTTCATAAAATAGAGGTCATTGTTGTTATCTTCATTACATTGCCCGGCAATGGGGGAGGGGGACGGGGGAGGGGGATGGGGGAGGGGGGCGAGGGAGGAGGGATGAGGGTGGCGGGGGAGGGGGAGGGGGGTGGGGTCGCGGTGCACGCGGACACTCACGGCGCACGGCTGGAATGTGGGCGGCACGCGGACCCAGCGGCTCGCAGCCCAGCAGCTCGGCCTTGAGCGCGATCTTGCCGTGCCACGCCGTCGGGTGGAGACGCACGAAGCGCGCCGACGCCAGAGCCGGCAGCAGGGAATGGCGCGCCTCCTGCCACTGGTTGGTGTTGCCTTCGAACACCTGGGGGAGGGTGGTGGTGGTGGAGCGCGCGGTGGGGGGGGGGGGGAGAGTGAACCAGGTCACGCTTGCAATTGAGACTCATCCTGGCGGTCCTCCTCGGCTTCGCGCACGGTTAAACAAATAATACTTGAACTTTGGGGTCGGAGGTCAGGCAGGGGTTCCCTGAAAAACACGGGAGGGGTGGGTCGTGGGGGGGGGGGGCGGCAGTGGAAGACCGGTACCATTTCTCCACTGACGCTTCCGGGCTGAGCACGGCGAGCACAGGGACGGGAGGGGCGGCTCTCATTGTTCGAGCGTTTTTCCACCGGTTAACTGCCATGCAGAGCCAGAACTAAACCGCGATGAGATTGGCCTCCGGTCACGGTAAGCCACATCGTCGAGCTATCATTTGTGATGGCCAGGTCGCTTCTGAAAGAGAAGCGGATAGATTTCGATTTAAAGCTTTCGTGACTGCAATGATTCATCTTCTTTGGTTCTTTCGGTAAAGTCACGTAGAATGAGAATAAAATAATAAATTGATAAAATAAAATAACACAATAATATTCTCACGACGTTTCGGCCACAACACAAGCGGCCTTCATCAGGTGAAGGGACGAGACTGTCTGGAGGACAGCGCTGTCCTACCAGACAGTCTCATCCCTTCACCTGATGAAGGCCGCTTGTGTTGTGGCCGAAACGTCGTGAGAATATTATTGTGTTATTTTATTTTATCAATTTATTATTTTATTCTCATTCTACGTGACTTTACCAAAAGAACCAAAGAAGAAGCGGATGGCTCAGTGGGCTTTATCTGGTAAGATAAAACATATTCTTTGGGTCTTTCGGTAAAGTCACGTAGAACAATTTTTTTTTTTACAAATAACTACGCCGTTTCGATAGCAACACAAGCAATCGTCAACAGGAGTAAAAAAGAGGAAGGAAAAAAATGAGTTTTGTGTAACAAAAAATTGTTCTACGTGACTTTACCGAAAGACCCAAAGAATATGAATTCCTGCAGTCACGAAAGCTTTAAGTCAAGATTTAAGATAAAACATAGCTTCGCTTTATTTTTATACACAGTAAAACCTTGGATTGCGAGCATAATTCGTTCCGGAAACGTGTTTGTGATTCAAAGTACTCGTATATCAAAGTGAATTTCCCCATAAGAAATAATGGAAACTCAGATGATTCGTTCCACAACCCAAAAATATTCATATAAAAGTTATTAATACAAAATACCTTTTTATATTTTTATTACTTAAATGTAATGTAAAGTAATCAAATTTATTAATTAAATTTAACCGTGGCTGGTGTGAGGGAGACGAGAGAGAGGAGAGGAGGGTTATTGTGTAGGACGACTTCCACTGTCACTAACGGAATCACTGCCATCTGTCAGTTCACTGGAATCTTTTTCTTTTTGTGCGAATTTAACAAGGAACCTATCGAATGACACTTGCTTTTGCCTCCTTTTGAGGAGGCAAAAAGCATTGTTGCAGTACAGTTACTAAAGAACAGTCACTACACTTGGACACAAAATAAAAAAAATGCTTTACGCACACACACGTGGTCACAACACTATAGTAAACAGTATACACATGGTCACAACACTATAGTACTGTAGTAAACAGTATACACGTGGTCACAACACTATAGTACTGTAGTAAACAGTATACACGTGGTCACAACACTATAGTACTATAGTAAACAGTATACGCTCGCACGGATGTTGACTAAACGAGTGAGACACGCCGACTGAGACCGAGCATGGGAGACGATTACCCACAATCCTGCAGTGAGAGAGAGAGAAGAACCATCGACTCAGTTGTGATCACGTGACGCTCGGCAGACAAAGCGTATACGTACTGCTCGTATTGCAAGACCTCGCTCGTTTATCAAGTTAAAACGTACTTAAAACGTTGGCTCGTCTTGCAAAACGCTCGCAGACCAAGTTACTCGCAATCCAAGGTTTTACTGTATATATATATTTTTTAAGCAATTTGATTACCATTACTATACTTTGCACTCCTATTGTGTTGCTGTCACGTTCTGACCTGCCGCGACTGGACGGCTTTAGAGCTCATTGCATTCCTCCAGTATAAATACTTAAGATTCTGAATCCGGCTCGGGGGTCAAGCAGGGTCGGAGGAGGCGACATCGACGCATCCGTCGCCTGCGGCATCAGTCGGCAAGAGAGCGTAGCGTCACGTGTCGGTCCAACGCAAACGCAGCGACGCGCTCGGGCATCTCGACCCGTCCTGTCGTCACGCGTGCACCACGTGAGCGGCCACGGTGACACCACAGGCGGGATTCTTAGCGGTGTCGGCTCAGCGCTTCGACTCCCGATCCGCCCGACCACCTCAGAGTATTTAAAAAAAAGAAAAAAAACTTCCTCATACAAGTCCCGTGGCCTATTCAAAACTGGAATCGCTAAATGGTTAAATTCAGACCAGGGTGCGGTGGACGGCAACAAAATCACACGAGAGGACATTGACAATTCATTGCTCTTACAAACGGAGACCTGGTTAATTACGCAGGGGTTTAAAACCGGTTTAAATCGCAGGCGGCTGAAACCCAGACTCGAACCCAGGTGGCTCAGCGGTGCCGACTCGGCGCTACGCCAGTGTGTGATGCGTCCCCCCCCCCCATCCTCACTCCGAGCCACTCCGCCACCCTGGCTGCTCCCGGGTCTCTCACCTTGTCCTCACCCAAGGCGGCCGTCTTGTAGAACTTCCACTTGGCGCCGTCCAGGCTGTACGAGAGCTTGTAGGCCGTCACAAAGAAGTTGTAGTTCTGATACGCCGAGCCCGTCGTCACGATTCCTGGAGGCCCAAGGGGGTTGGGGGGAGAGGTGTCATCACCGACCGTCACCCGAGCAAACGGCATCATTGTTCGTATTGTTCATCATTTTGGCGACTCATATCCTGGCTCAACAAAATGAACCTGAAACTTGACCAACGGACAAGAACGTCGCTGCACAAGAGTAAACAGCACTTCAGGCTCATAAAAAGAATAGCACGTTTTCATGGAGTCACACTTCTTTTTCACTGCGGTCATGGTTTTTTGTTAACAACCCCCGTGTAATTTTCGTCAAGTCTTAAGTCTGTGGCTTTCGTTTCGTTACCCTCTCGGTCTGGTCCACAGTCAAACATCTCGGTCGCACACTTAGTTATTGCCGTCGCTATGGGAGCAGCGCACTTGTCGCCCTTTGCATCGGGGCGCCTCCGAGCGACAAAGATGCCGGCACCCAATGGCTCACTCGTTTTAAACATCGCGGGGGACGGCGACCTTCAACTCCCGACGCGTATCAGACGGCGCGGTAACACTTGACGGTTGTACACGCCGCGGCGTTAACGAGGGCGCTTTGCCGGATTCCAACCGCGAACCTCTGCAACAAGCGGCGAACGTGCCGCTGCCGGCACGCGGCACCTCCCCCGGTGCATGCCGTTGGTCCGTACGCGTCATCTCCCCCAGGCCGGTGGCAGGCGGGCGCGGTGACTTACCCGCGACGCGCTTGGGCGTCTGCAGGTCGACCTGGAGCCACTGGCGGTCGTCGAGGTTGAAGGGAGCCCAGGGCGGCCCGTGCAGGCCCAGCCTGGCGTGGTGCGCAGGCCAGGCCTGCAGGCCGCCCTGCGCGTCGTACCACTGCAGCGTGGAGGAGGCCGTGAGCTGGGCGTCCGCCACGGAGCCCGACGCCAAACCCAGCGCGGCGTCGCAGCCTGAGACGGAACAGCGGAAGGCGTTGGGTGGAGGTGGATGGGGCGAGTTCCGCGAGAGTTAAGAGTCCATTTCGGTATTTGCGCCGTCCTCCTTGCTGTAAACGTCTATGCTCCGCCCGCCTTCACCTACCAGATAAACACCCAATGACCTCGCACGGCTCCGGGAGGCAGTCATCCAGCAGTGGGTAGTATGTGTATATGTACGTTGAACTTCATTCGCACAGTACGTAGCCAGCCGTACACCAATCGGAGGTACCGGTGGAAGGATTTATTAAAGGGCTGTACACTTACGATGTAAAAATTCAAACATTCGGCCCAAGTCGGAATTCAGCAGTCATGTCTGGGTCTGGAGCACCCAGTTCCTACCTCACTGCACCCGATGGGATGCAACGTAGCGCAGTCAGGTTGAGTGATGACCCACCACTTACTAATTCACTCCTGTCACTTGCTCGCTCCCCCGGCGGTTAGTCGCCTCCTTATCGCTCGCATATCGATACGACGGTGGCTATTGTTCTCACGAATTAAAAATCAAGCATATACGCGCGGATCACACGAGGCTTTCCAATGTGCATTTCGCCTTGTATGGAAACCAATGGGTAGCTGTTGTGGAATTTTTTTTTCGCAGGCCACGGGAGGAAATACGGCCACACACAGCAATGCTTGCCGTCGCTGTCAAGATAAACGAGGCCCTCCCCTCTACCGATACTCACGGAGAGCACGCACTGGAGCACTCTGAAGTGCTTAACAAGAGCACCCCCTAGAAGAGCGAAGAAGCCGAGCACAAAACGCACGGTTAATGGTTCCGTGCGGCGAGCCTTTGAATGGATTGCTCTCAAGCAGTGCCCGCCCGTGACCGAACGGGCCAAGGGATTGCCCCGTCTCGGCAGATCTCGCAAGCCCGCAACGGCGCTCGGACGGGGCGATCAAAGCGCGCCGGCGCGCACGGTGAGCGGCACAGGTCGGCGCGGAAAAATCGCGCCGTTGTGCTGCTCTGCTACGCTAACCCCGCAGCAAACGCTTCGCGCGTTCACCGACGCGCACTGCCCACGTCCAGCAGCGGGTCGCCAGAGGGGCCCTATAACCCCACCCACGCGCACACGGGGAGAGCCGGCGCTTCAAGGAGCGCCGGGGCTCTCCCGTGAGCCACCCGGCCGCCCGCACGTGTGACAATGTGGGAGGAAGTCGCGCTGGGAAACTGGCGTGGATCTGCGTCATCTTTACCGTCGGTTTTGAACTTGAAGAGCCAATCAGAAAGCGGCCCACTGTGGAAGACAAGGGAAATAATAATAATAATGACGATTATTACGTAAACATGGGATCTCAAGAGCTGGTTCAGCAAAATACTACAAAAACGTATTAAATATATACACACGTACCTGAATAGGGTATTTAAACAGGGTACACACGTGTGTGTAAATTTAATACGTTTCAGAATTATTTTGTTTAACCGGGTAACGAGATCTGATGAGATGAAACATTATTTGATAATTTGGAAGACAAGGGAAATAATAGTCACAATTATTACATAAACACGAAAATGACCAAATTATGAAATCACGTTTCATCTCGTCAGATCTCGTTACCAGCTTAAAACAAAATAATTTTGAAACTTATTAAATATACACACACACACTTGTACCCTATTTTGGTACACGTGTGTGTGTATATTTATAAACAAAATACAAACCTCCGTATATTTATTTTTATATACACAAACTGTATTAAAATCACAGCCAGCTGGACAACGGGCAAGACCACACAAACTCGCGCTCTCTCTCTCTCTGCTGCAGCCCTCTCTTCGGGGGCCCAGCGGCAGACCTCAACATCGGCATCGAGCTCCCCAATCAACATCGCCACCGTCGCGCGCCCACGCGCGAGAGAGAGAGGGACACAGCATCGCCACGCACGACGGTTTTCCCCGCGCACGCCGCCACTGACTCTGTGGAGGCGATGCCGTTGGCACGGGTGCCCTTGTAGTAGTGGGCCCCAGAGGCACGGCGGACCGTGACGCTGCCGCCCTGGTCGGCCGCCAGGACGCCCGCGTGCACCGCGGCCCTGCACAGCGGTGAAGACTGAAAGACACAAAGACAAAATAGGTAACAAACAAAAAAGTCATCAATGCACGCGCTTTTATTCGCACTCAAAAGTAGAAAAAAACGTTATTTTGACCCCAGAATTAATCAAATTTGGTGGGCCGAATAAAAGTGTGTGGTTTCCTTTCGATACGTTTAATTTTCTTTATGCAATGTTCCTTATTTGAATGTTAACCTTTGTATATGTACAATAATTTGAATATGTACATATTCATTCTAATATCTCAATCCAGACAATAACAATAGTTCATTATTGTCTGGATAAATAAAAAAACACGAAGAGGCCCAGGATCGGCATGCCCTGGACCGGTTATTTAAATGGAATCTTGAACTGGTACGCGAGATGACAATTCTGTATGCACAGTTTCAGCTCGTTAAGGCGTCGTAGATCCGAAGACAATTAAGCATCAGACTTAAAAGAATATAACCAGATAACAGGGCAAGTTAAATGAAAGTGTGTAAAAGGAGCCCCTGTATAGCCTCTCTCAAGGGTGCCACAGAGGCGAGATGTTAACTACCTCGCCTGGTATGCAAGAGGTAGTGGGTTCGATCCCGACCCTGACGCCTGTATATTTGGAGTTTTCGTGTCTCTCCCCGTGGCCGCGTGGATTTTTCCTCCGGGTCCTCAAATTTTTCCCACCATATTTAGAACCAAGGTGCGTTTAGGCTATTTGGCTGCGATACATTTGCACACGATGGGCCACTTCGTTGAGCTATTATTTGTGGGCAGGTCCCTTATGAAAAAGATCTACATAGCTCAGTGAGCCTTACCTGGTAAAATACGACTTTAGTCCAGTTTAGTTTGACAGACTGTTGGGGCACGTGCTGTTAGCGAGTAGCACCTAAGTAGGCCGGGAAAGGCCAGCACCACGCCCGGTAAACATCGCCGCTTCTCCGTAGCGGCGATGTTTACTCATTTGAGGCCGAGTCTACCTTGGGAGGTCCAGCAACAGATATTCGCCACTGCTGTTGGCCGTGAGCGGGAATCGAACTCGGACCGTCGGGTTCGTAACACAGTGCGCTAACCACTACACTGCCGCTCCCCGGACACAAGTGTACACACACACACACAAAGATAAAGACCCCCCATATAGCCTAAACAGACACTTCGGGCAAGTGCTGTTAGCGAGCACCCTATGAAGGCCGGAACGGTACACGAGGGGGTGGGTGGCCAGCACCACGCCCGACCGCCTTTGTCTCCCCAGTGGCGATGTTTACACACCGCACCAGTTACTCATTTGAGCCTGAGTCGACCTAGGAGAGGCCCGGGACCGGTTCAGATAATTGCCACTGGTGTTGGCTGCGAGCGGGAATCGAACTCAGGTGGCCGGGTTCGTAGCGAAGCGCGCTAACCGCTACACTGCCGCTCCCCACACACACGTGTACACACACACACGACAAAGATAACCCAGCCTAGTTTTTGACACTTTTGTTGGGAAAGACGCCCAAGGTTTGCTTTGAATATCCATCACCGAAGTTTAGTCGTAGCTGGGTATCCAACTCAGGTGACCGGGTCCCTGCGTGCAGCACACGAACTGCTGCGCCACTTACTTCCAGCCATTGTGCCAGGCTCCGTCGGCGAGCCGGAGGCAGCACAGGACAGTGCAGCGCAAGCCACCGTTGCACGGTACTACCTATGCTCCCACATCTATGCTCCCCCACCTGGACCAACCCCGTCACGACCAGCATGGTGAGGTCATCAAACAACACCCTCCCTCCCCATGGACAGTGTGGTGCGGGTTGGAGGCCCTCACGCTGCAGTGAACTGACGTGTAATTTTCATCGAGTAATTCATCGTGACGCGAAGGGCTCACTGCAAGACTCATCGTGCCAGGCTATGGTTTGTTGACCTTCCCGCGCACTTCTGATTAGCATGGTTGGCTACGTACAGTGCGAAAGAAATTCAACATATACACACATAGAAACGAATGCGTCCTGACTGAGGTTAGTTTCTGCATGCCAGCGAGCGTGTGCGTGAGCGCGCGAATCTCACATCTCTGTATCCGGTCTCGGGACAGCCCATGATCTCGCTGTCCGTGCTGAAGCATCCGGCTGGGCAGTACTTCCTGGACACAAGCATCCCAGGAGAGAGACGCCCGTGTGAGACGAAAACAAATACATCAGTTAAAACCGTCCACTCCGGCAAGTCACTCTTGAGAATAAGACGAGACGTGAATAATAGCTGCGTGGTGGTGGTGGTGGCGGTGGCTACGCACGTGGCTGCCTGTAATCCAGCAATGTGGAGGCAACAGAGAGGGTTGGTGGATCACACACACACACACAAGATGTTGCGAAACTCCCCTCTACCCGTGAGAGTCGAGGAGGAGCAAATGCCCTGACTCGCAAGGAGAACGGGGTTTAGCAAAAAGGTGGACTGTCACCTGTTTCATCTGTGTGGGATACAGCGTTTCACCCTCGCACGCGTGGGATTTCTGTGGATGCTCCAGTTTCCTCCCACATGTATAAACGCTCATTAATTGGCCGATAACTCGTTAAAACATAAAGGACGGCAGAACTTGGGCAATTGCTGGTTCCGGCTCATGGCGTGGCCGCCTTCCCGCTCGTCCACGATTCCTCGCACCTCGGGGTCGCTCGCTCTCGTAGAGAGAATGCAGTGTGGCGGCCCAGTACAAGTTACAATTATTATTAATAACAATACAGCAAAGCGAACAGACAGATGATATCGAGAAAGTGTACTTGTCCAAAGCAACGCGCCCACGTTTTGCAAAAGGAATCGGTAAATTCACGAACGCAAATCAGACGCGTGGTTGTGCACACAGCGTGCTGTGCGGCTGTATTTGCCGCAGATGTTGTTTTTTATAGATTCATGACTATCAGGTTGGCTCACGGTGTCCCAATGATAAACGGCTTCCGGCAGCTCTGAAATAATCACGAGCCGGCCGTGACTCGTCCGCAAATGGCCTAAAAAGTACGTGTCTGTACGCCGAACTCCTTTTCGCACCGTACGTGGCCAACCGCGCGAATCCGCGGCAGCCTCAGCCTCTCCTGGATGGGCCATTGACAGCCACCGTAGGAAATGTCCATCGAACTTAACAAAAGTCTCTCATGTTGTTAGTGAAACAATTTCCATCGTCCGTCGTGACACGACCGACTGGGCCTTCACGCGTCGTGCTGGCAAGACTCCCACGGTCATGAGACTCGAACACTTCCATTCTAGACGGTCGACGAACGTCTCCGCGTGCCAGAGAACGGCCCGTGGAAGTAGATAGCACAAGAACTACTTGTCCGAGATCCCTCCTCAAGCGATCTCTCGTCCACACACGGCAAGCAAATTGACAGAACAAAAAATCATGCTCAGGGGCTGGAATTTAGCCACATTGAATGCACAACTAAATGTAACATGATGGCTTGCTTGTGCGGTCATAAATGAACGGGCTGAGACCACCAGTTCGCTGGAAATGAGAAACCGGTTTAATTGCGGTCAGGTAATTAAAACCTGGGTTCGAACCCAGAGTGGCAACGGTGGTGGTTCAAGGTCTCCGACACGGTCATTGTGAGACTCCCCCCCGGCCCCCCCCCCCCCCCCCCAAAGCAACCTGGCCACATGCAAATTTACCTGTATTCCAAAGCCTCATCTGAGAAGTGAGATCCCAGGCTCAGGCAGGTGATGAGATCTGCAACAGAAAGTGTCATTGACCAGTTACAAACTCGACGCTTCGACGTACGTACGTATGCATGTATGTATGTATGCATGCGGAACTTCTTTAGCACGGTACGGAGTCAACCGTGCTAATCGGAGGTGCGGGAGAAGGACAACAAACGAAAAATGTTCGAAAGAAATTAGTTTTCAAACTAGATTTAAAAGTGCTTCCTAATATCGGAAGGAAGAGCATTCCAGACACCAGGTTTCTATCTTCAGTCCTTTGAGCTGCCAACTTGTACACGGCAGTTTAAAGTAGAGTTGTTAGACGGTAAACCGGTCATCATTTTCAGAACCGGTTACCGGTCCTGAGACTCAGGAACTGGTTACCGATTCCAGCCGAATGAAAGCGCAGCGAGCTAGGGAGCGAGCGAGCGAGCGAGCGATCGATCGTGCGGACGTGGAGCAATCTCAACTGGTGGTCTTGACTCACCGGCGTGTTGCTCCGTGGCGTAGTTGAGCAGGAAGCCTCGTCCCGTGGTCCCGGATCGGCTCTGGAACTCGACCGTCACCTCGCTCCCCACGCTCACCACCTCCTTGGGCACGTAGTACATGTTCCCGCAGTACCGGCCTGCGCGCCAACGACGTACAAACGCAAAACATCCCCCCACCACCAGCCGTTGCTGTTGAGACAAATGCCGTTGTTTTGCTTGCGTGCACATGCAAAAAAAAACCTAAACTAAGATCCCCCCCCCCCCGCCCCTATCGCCTTAGCAGACTGTTGGGCCAAGCGCTTGTTAGTGAGTAGCACCTATGAAAGGTGGCACGGCACACGAGGAGGTGGTGTGGCCTCGCAGCACCTACCACCACCAGCAGCACCATCAACATCATCACCATCAGCAGCAACATCACCACCGTCAGCAGCAGCACCAGCACCAGCACCAGAGCGCGACTACAGACTGTGACGAGACGAAGCTAACGAGCAGCAGCACCATCACCACCACCAGCACCATCAGCACCATCAGCAGCAGCACGACCACCACCAGCACCACCACCAACAGCAGCACCACCACCACCAGCACCACCACCAGCACCACCACCAGCACAAGAGCGCGACTACAGACTGTGACGAGACGAAGCTAATGAGTCTCCGAATGAAGACGCGCACCAACGGGATTTGATAGCGCGATTCGCAATTGCAGCGCACCGAGGAACACCACCAGGGGCGGAGCCACAGGGGGGGCTGGGGGGGGCTTAGCCCCCCCTGAAATTTTGGGAAAGTCGGTAATCGGGATAACCGGATATCCGGCTGCTGCAAAATGCTGGCTGCCACCTTGTGCTGCCCTGCTGGCTGCTTGAGCGGCAGCCTTTAGAACTTATCGAACTTATCAGCCGCGTCAGCGGCTCCGACCTATAAATAAACTCCGCGTTCAAATCCAATAAAATTTGTTTTATACATTTGTGGCGTCCATTGGAAAACATAAACACTGGATATCTCTCAGAATATTGAAGTCAGCCCCCCCAAAGTCAAAATCCTGGCTCCGCCCCTGCACACCACACGTGTAAATTGGCCGTGTATGTGTAAATTTCCATATTTAAAGAGTTCAGTGAAAGGGGTGGGGGGGGGGGGGGCTCACCAAAATTTACTTCTGGTTTGGGGTCCCAATGGGCCATCCCCCCATTACCAAGGGTATATATTACAGAATCTTGATTTGAAGCTTTCGTGACTGCAGGAATCCACACTCTTTGGTTCTATCGGTAAAAGTCGCGTAGGTAGAAAATAAAATAAATCACGACGTTTCGATCACAACACAAGCGGTCGTCCTCAGGTGGAAAAAATATAATCCAGCAGGGTTCAGCAGTTCCACTGCTGGGTTATATTTTTGTGAAAATAATGTTTATATTTTTTAGTCGCGTCTTCTTCCACTGCCGAAAAACGCGCGGGGCAGGTTTTATATTTATTTTTCAGGGGGGGGGGGGGGGGGGTGGGTGGGCGTATTTGTGAAACTTGGCAACGGAATGTTTTTCTTGCAAAGGGAGTCGCTCGTGAAACGGTGGTGGACGCTATTGGCGGAGAAGAGATCGCTGCGCCGGGTGAGCATCATGACGCGCACAACGAAACATCTGTGCCCCCCGCTAACCCCTCCCATACCACTTACCCCCCTCCCATAACCAACCCCCCCCCCCCGCCCCCGCCCCCCCACACCACCCACTTGCCGGCTGTTTTTAAATTTCGATTTAAAGCGCCGTGAGAGTTGTATTGTTTATATATCTTTATTATTTTATTGTTTCCCTTCTACGCGACTTTTACCGGAAGAACCAAGAATATATTTGCCGGCTGTTGTTTCAAAATCGATTCGACGCGCGTCGATTCTAAACATTTCACAGCGGCCTCTCCGTCTCTCCGACAGTGCGGTCCTGGCAGAGACTCTGTGTCTCACACGGGACGCGCGCGAGCGCGTGTACGTGCGTATAATCATTACGCAAAAACATCGCGACGTGTTTACGGGAAGAAAAAAACAACACGTGGTCGTTACAGGAGGATGCGCCGATACAAAACGTCTCCTCGCACTGTCGACCCCTAAAATGAAGCCGCGCCCCACCGCGTAGGTGTGCAAAGTCGTTCCCACTGCGCCCGTTGAGCCAGCGAAGACTCACAGAGTCTCGAGGCTCTTTTTCAGGAGGGGGGGGGGGGGGGGTGTCTCTGCCAAGTTTTTTTTACCCCGCAACAGGGAGGGGCTGCTAAGTTGTCGCTCTCACGCGACACCGGAATTTTGCAGGGAAGTTTTCAACATTGGGCAGGATGTATGTTCTCGGTTCTTTTTCGGTAAAGTCACGTTGAAGGGAAACAATAAAATAATAAAATGTATATATAAAACAATAAAAATTCTCACGACGTTTCGACCATAACACAAACGGTCGTCATCAGGTGTGTCGGTTTGCATAAATTTATTCATTTTAAAACGGTGTATTTATTTATTTAAAAAAAATTGGGAGGATAGTTTGGCCGATACCAGTGACAATGGAGAGAACCCAGAAGATGCCCAAGCAGAACAGGGGGAGAACATACAAACTCAACACACAAAGGTGCCCGGATTCAGGAATCGAACCGAGGCCCTTCTTGCTGCGAGGCACAGTTTGCCACCGCTGCGCCACCCAACCGCCTTGCCACAGTCACATGGGGTCCAACCTTTCCCGCCGGCAATTGGAGCGAAACAACGGACATAACGACGAGCAACACCAGGCACGACCGAAAAAAAACATCGGAGCGCTGCTTGTACCACCAGCACCACCACCGCCACCACCAAAAACAAAAGATCCCCCGTATATACTCTTTGGTTCTATTCGGTAAAGTCACGTAGGTCCCTTCACCTGATGAAGGCCGCTTGTGTTGTGGCCAAAACGTCGTGATTATTGTTGTTTTATTTTTTACCTACGTGACTTTACCGAATAGAACCAAAGAGTATGGATCCTTGCAGTCACGAAAGCTTCAAATCTAGAATTCCCCGTATAGCCTTCAAGTGCTGTTACCAAGAAGCACCTATGAAGGCCCGCACAGCACTCGAGGGAGTGGGTGGCCAGCACCACACCCGGCCGTCTTTGTCTCCCAGGTGGTTGACGTATTTACACACCGCGCCAGGTACTCATTTGAGACCGAGTCGACCCAGGGGAGGCCCATGACCGGTTCAGAAATTCGTCACTGGTATTGCGCCCCACGAGCGGGAATCGAACTCGGGTGGCCGGATTCGTAGCGCAGCCCGCTCAACCGCTGCACCGCCGCCACCATCGCCGCGCCAACTCACTCGAAGCTCTCTCCCCGTCGAACAGGCGCACGTAGTCGGCTTGGCAGTGCTCGTTGTACGGCACGAGGAAGTCGGCGAAGCGCAGGCGCAGGCGGGAGCCCGGCGGGCCGCGCACGAGCCAGCGGCAGGAACCGTTGCGAGGGTACGCCTGCGGGTAGTCGAGCGAGGCGAGCGTGCCGCTCGCCGGGCCGAGCACCGTCAGCCCGCACGCCGAGCCTGGGGATGAACGAGGGGAGTCAGGGGAGAAGAAACTGGTCACGGCTGTAAGGGTGGCAGGGCGGTGTGTGGAAAGATGTTGACTTCCTCGCCTCGTTTACAGGAGGTCGTGGGTTCGATCCCGACCCCGACGCCTGTATATATGGAGTTTGCGTGTTCTCCCCGTGGTCGTGTGTATTTTTATCCCGTTCCTCCGGTTTTCCCCTCCACATCTGGAATCAGTGTCATGCGTTTAAGAGCATTCGGCTGCTATAAATTCCCACTTGATAAGCCACTTCGGTGAGCTATCATTTGTGGCAAGGTCGCTTCTGAAAAAGAGCTGTATAGCTCAATGGGCCCTTGCTTGGTAAAATAAAAACAAGGTTTTTTTGTTTTACCTATTTAGGTGTGTGTAGCCAATCGTTGGCCACGTACGGTGCAAAAATGTTCAACATAACGATGTGTCCGTCGTCGTTGATGACCATGAAATATATATGAAAGCACGCAACGGTGCGTTTCTCGCAAGCAGCAGGAAGGCGACGACTCTCATCATGCCTTGCGTGCACGTGTCGTGTGATCACCACACATTGCATGTACAATGATCTCAGCCTCGTCTCGACCACAGATTCGAGATTTAACAATACGCAAAAGTTGTGCTGCTCGCACGTCGTCCTCCTTACCCTGCATGCGCGCGTCTTTCGATCACCACATTGAATGTGCGAGGATCCCAGCCTTGTCCAGACCACCGGTTCAAAAAGAGCCAAATTGTGTGCGACCCCGTTATTGCTTAGGCCGCGGTGGTCATTGCACATCAGGCAGCGGTGAAAACGGGGAAAACTCCAGTCCGGTTCGTTCACATTAGGAGTCAAACCGTGGCACTGTCGTCAATGTTCGACGCTGCCTTGGATCTCCGGGAAACCCAGACAGGTGAGCCTGTCGTGATGAGTTTTTGTCATCATTTAAAATAAGGTGTGGGATTTTGAATTGTTATTAGTCTTCGTCTCGAACGGCCTTGTCACTTTTCACATTATCAAGTTATGAAGTCCTTCTCAGGTCGCGTGCACCTCACAAATTGTCGCCTATTACACGATTAGTCACCCGAAACGTCACCTATTATATGTATACACACACACACACAACGTACCTATCAAAAGGCAGTATTATCGAGTTTGAAGTTTCTCACATTGAACGATTGACACTGATGTAGTCCTTTCATTTTTAAAGTCCATTTCATTTGCTCTTGGCCGTTTCTTCACACACACCAGCCCGTTGTTTTTACAGGAACCTTGGCTGGGAGATAAGATGACGATACTGCGGTATTTTTTTGGAGCTGAATGGCTTGTTTGCGTTATTGCAATCGTTGGCAGAGCTCAAAGATCGCTGTGAATAAAAAATATATGTATATTTCTGCCAATTTCCCCTCCCACCCACAAACACACACTTTCATAATATTTATGTTTATTTTTAACAACAAAAAATACATTGCCATTTTATTGCCCTAATTTCCAAGTACATTTAATTCAACAAGGTCATTTACTTGTACAAACAATTAGCAGGTGCTCATGTTAAAATGACAATTATTTACCCGCGAAGGCCTCCCCCCCGAGTGTCTGGAGGCTTGTTTTCAGGAGGGTGCCTGCAACATTGGGAGTTGTCTGGCCATGAATTGCTTGAGTAATGAGCGCCACGGTGGCGAGATGTTAACTACCTAGCCTGGTATATAGGAGGCTATGAGTTCGATCCAAATCCCGACCTTTGACACCTGTATATTTGGGAGCTTGCATGTTCTCCCCGTGGTCGCGTGGATTTTTCTCCGGGTCCTCTGGTTTTTCCCTCCAAATTCAGAGTATTTAGTTGCTCTTAATTTCCACGGGATAAGCCACTTCATTGGGATATCATTTGTGATTGCCAGGTCGCTTCTGAAAAAGAGCTAATGCGCTCGGTGGGCCTTACATGGTAAAATAAAAATAGTTTTTAGTTTATAGAGTTTGGCTCCGTGTGGGAGTAAGAGGGAACCGGAGAACCCGGAGAATCTGGAGAAAACCCAGCACCGCGCCTGCTGTAGACGGGAGAGGGAGCCACTCAGTACCGCCACCTCCTGGCCACCAGCTCGCCTACAGCACCTGGCAAGCCACAATGGCAACCCTTTCCAACTACAGGCCTCGCTCAAACCTGCCGGAGCTTCCGAGATCCGACGAGACTGGGTGCGTATTTCGAATAATTTAGGGTCACGAGCAAAATACAAAAGACAGTTGCTAGACTGTGTTTAGTTTGATGCCCTTCCTCCTCCCCCGCACCTCCGATGAGCACGGTTGGCTACGTACGGTGTGAAAGAAGTTCAACATACACACATAACAGCCCGATGACCTGGGTTTAGTTTCGAGCCGCAGCTAACACCAGTGGAGAGCGATGCCTGAACCGGTCCCGGTTTCCACCCAAACGTCGACTCAGCCTTATGTTAGAACTTGGTGCGCTGTGTAAAAATGAGCACAGACGAGAGACAAAGGCAGACAGGCGTGGAACGGGCCACCCATCCCCTCCGCGTGCAACGCCGCTTAAGGAGGTGCTCGCTAAAATAACTTCCCCCAGCAGTCAGTTAAAGGCTATATGGGGGACCTTTGTCTCCGTGGTACTCGCCAAACGGCACTAGCCCCAACGGTCCTATAAGGGGGGTGCGGGCGGTGGGATGGGATCTGGGTTTCCGTGCACGTGTTTGTACACGCAAACGTGTGCGCGTGTGTGTGTGTGCACGCGCCGTGCGTGTGTGTGTGTGCACGCGCCGTGTGTGTGTGTGCACGCGCCGTGTGTGTGTGTGCACGCGCGCGTGCGTGCACGAGCGCACTTGCATTTGTCATGAAAGACCTTTTAGGCAATGGTCCTTGACAAATAGGCCCCAACGTTTTGGGCAGGAAATGGTAACTTTAACCGGAGCAGCTAAAACAACAAACGCCAGTTATTGTGCAATACGCAGGGGGAGTTGGGAGGGCGGAGGGAAACTTTTACATTTCTTCGCATTCGTTTCACTTTCGCGTCGAAGATAACGCTCGGTTCACCGCAGCCTTCGCGGAGTACGGAACATTAAGCGCAAACGCTCGAAACATCCGCGCGTGCATTGAAAAAAATAAGCCAGACGGAACCAAAACAACAACTCCACAATTATCCCCGCTACCCTCCCGCCCCACCCCCCCCCCCCCCCCCCCGCATTAAACATTAAAAAAGAACAGAGTTATTGTTGCGTGACCGTTAGCAGACGAGACGCAGAGATAAACGTGCGTGAAATAAGCAGCAATTTCGGCTCAGGCAGGACACCACTCCCAGAAGGGGTAATGTGATGGATGAGACTGCTGGTGGGATGGCAGGCAAAGAAGGGAACACGCCCCGGAGGACGACCACCAGAGCTCATGTGCGTGTATTATTACAGTGTGTGTGTATGTACAGTGAGGGAAAAAAAGTATTTGATCCCCTGCTGATTTTGCACGTTTGCCCACTGACAAAGAAATGATCAGTCTGTAATTTTAATGGTAGGTTTATTTGAACAGTGAGAGACAGAATAACAACAAAAAATCCAGAAAAACGCATGTCAAAAATGTTATTAATTGATTTGCCTTTTAATGAGGGAAATAAGTATTTGACCCCTCTGCAAAACATGACTTAGTACTTGGTGGCAAAACCCTTGTTGGCAATCACAGAGGTCAGACATTTCTTGTAGTTGGCCACCAGGTTTGCACACATCTCAGGAGGGATTTTGTCCCACTCCTCTTTGCAGATCTTCTCCAAGTCATTAAGGTTTCGAGGCTGGCGTTTGGCAACTCGAAACTTCAGCTCCCTCCACATATTTTCTATGGGATTAAGGTCTGGAGACTAGCTAGGCCACTCCAGGACATTAATGTGCTTCTTCTTGAGCCACTCCTTTGTTGCCTTGGCCGTGTGTTTTGGGTCATTGTCATGCTGGAATACCCATCTACGACACATTTTCAATGTCCTGGCTGAGGGAAGGAGGTTCTCACCCAAGATTTGCCGGTACATGGCCCCGTCCATCGTCCCTTTGATGCGGTGAAGTTGTCCTGTCCCCTTGGCAGAAAAACACCCCCAAAGCATAATGTTTAGACCTCTATGTTTGACGGTGGAGATGGTGTTCTTGGGGTCATAGGCAGCATTCCTCCTCCTCCAAACACGGCGAGTTGAGTTGATGCCAAAGAGCTCCATTTTGGTCTCATCTGACCACAACACTTTCACCCAGTTGTCCTCTGAATCATTCAGATGTTCATTGGCAAAATTTCAGACGGGCATGTATATAAGCTTCCTTGAGCAGGGGGACCTTGCGGGCGCTGTAGGATTTCAGTCCTTCACGGCATAGTGTGTTACCAATTGTTTTCTAGGTGACTATGGTCCTCCTGTGTAGTTCTGGGCTGATTCCTCACCGTTCTCATGATCATTGCAACTCCACGAGGTGAAATCTTGCATGGAGCCCCAGGCCGAGGGAGATTAACAGTTCTTTTGTGTTTCTTCCATTTGCGAATAATCGCACCAACTGTTGTCACCTTCTCACCAAGCTGCTTGGCAATGGTCTTGTAGCCCATTCCAGCCTTGTGTAAGTCTACAATCTTGTCCCTGACATCCTTGGAGAGCTCTTTGGTCTTGGCCATGGTGGAGAGTTTGGAATCTGATTGATTGATTGTTTCTGTGGACAGGTGTCTTTTATACAGGTTAACAAGCTGAGATTAGGAGCACTCCCTTTAAGAGTGTGCTCCTAATCTCAGCTCGTTACCTGTATAAAAGACACCTGGGAGCCAGAAATCTTTGACATGTTTTTCTGGATTTTTTGTTGTTATTCTGTCTCTCACTGTTCAAATAACCCTACCATTAAAATTATAGACTGATCATTTCTTTGTCAGTGGGCAAACATACAAAATCAACAGGAGATCAAATACTTTTTTCCCTCACTGTAGGCGAGATGGGAGCGATTAGATTCGCTTGTGTGTGCTGTATTTGGTCGCGCGTGTACGTATGGGGAGCGGCAG